AAACAACCGCTCCACATGAACACAGTCATTCGTCTCGATCCCCTCTCGCTCCAGATTCGAGGGCTCTTGTAGCCGACTGATGCCTCGCGCAGTGCGCTCGACCCACGCTGTCGGCGCCCTCGCTCGGGCTGAGATGGCTGCTGGCAGGCGTCCCCTCGGGCAGTACGCCGTCCCAGTGCGGACCCCCGGCCTCCTCCGCCAGCGAGCGCCCCTCCAGCGTGCCGTCCCAGCGTCGCCCCCACCAGCGTGCCCTGTCAGCTTGCCCTCCGAGCGTCGCCGTCCCGACTCCTGTCACGCGCGCACGGGTCATGCGAAGCCGTTCGGCAACTTTCATTATCATCAACGACGCGTTGCCGCTGGGAGTCCGTCAGCGTGATACTCATTCGGTTGTGTCCGACGACCTGGTATACCTTCGACAATGACACGCTGATGGGCTCCCCTCGGCGGCTTGCCAATGGTGCTGTTTTTGCTCCGCCAACATTGGCAGGGGCCAACTCTCGATCCGCCGAGCTTCGATGGAGTTTCCGATTTGTTCGATCGGGCTCGATCGCCGTCGTTCGCTCGTCGATGTCGGCCGCCGCTCGTCGTCGTTTGCGCTCGTCGCTGTCGTTCGTCGACGACGTCGCTCGCCGTCGAGGTTCGAGGCAGTGTTCGATCCGCCCGATGTGGAATGTTGTCGAAGGTGCTCAGTCAGTGGTGCTCGTGGGTCTTGCCGCTTCGGGATGCCCTCCAGCCGCCGCCCGATGCTCGCGCGGCGCCGTTGGGCATCCTGGCGCCACCGATCTGATGCGGCCTTTTTCCCGGGGCGGTGCGGCCCGATCCGACACGTTCCGATCCGACCCGACGTCCCGATGCGATGGCGACGGATCGTGCGGAGGACATCGGCAACGACTCGTTCCTGGAGACGAGGTACATTTCGGCTGCGCGCACCCCGACTTGCCCTCAGACCCGGGCCTCGCATTTCTTACACCTGGGCGTTCGCGCCCTGGTTTGGGGCTCCAGGGACCTCACAGATCGATCCGGCTCGAAACAGGCCGCAGGGAGATGGGGTAGAATGCTCTGGTCGCGGCTGTCTACGATGTCACAAGTATTCACGTGACGCCAGATCTCATGGTTTCACAAGGGCCAAACAGATAGCACCAAGACCTTTTCCTTCACCAGTCGAGGCTGTAAGTGGTCTTGATGCAATTGCGCCCTCGAGGGCGCGAAGTCATTTGCACTTCGCGGTTCGGCTCCGATTCCTCCGCATTCTCTTTTTCTCCCCTGGAGGGCGGCGCGAGAGCGCGAGTTTCTTCGCGCAGCGCGAAGCGCGAAAGCAGGCGCCCGTGCAGATGGGTTTGCGGATCCATGGGGCCATTTCCCTGCGCTCTGGGAGCCCAGGGCGAGGCGCCACAGTCCACTCGCACAGGAAGGATGAGCAGCTTGCCAAGCTCACCCCTTGCACCCCTCCCCCTCCGGCTCCTCCGTGACCGCCTTCGCTGGCCGCGCCCCGCCCGCAGAGCGTCGACACGGCCGGCCAAGGCCGACACGGGTGGATTGCAAGCGGCCCACATGGGGCCTGCAGGTTTGGAGGGCGCCAGGCGATGCATCGCCCAACCTTTTAGGTCCTTGTCTCAAGGGTGGGACAGCAGAAGACGCACCAGCCCCCAAGCCTGGCGCTTACTGAACAGCCCTGGGCATTTACTGGGCGGCCCTGCCCTGTGTCGACCCCCTCAGGCGCCTTCCTTCTGAAGGGCTTCGGGTGGGGGCGGAGGGGGGGGCGGTGCCTACCTACGGGGGTGGTTCGTTCTGATGCTCTCTGTTGCGCCCCCCCCCCCCCCTGGAGCCAGGTGCCTCCCTTCGGGCCCACCCCCCACCCCACACTGGAGGCGACCCCCCCTCTCGCCCCCGCCCCTCGTGGCGCGCGCTGCCGACCCATCCTCGTCCACGCCAGGAGCGGCCCTGCCGCCTCCAGGCCCTCGCCCTTCCCGAGGGACGTGCTCAGCCCGGTCATGAAGCGGTCCGCGTGCTTCGCGGCCTCGCGCAAGACGCGGCCCCTCGCCACTACAGTCAGCCCGCCTAGTAAGGATGGGCAACCCTCCCAGGGGTGCCCTTGCATCCTTGCCTCCTCGGTCCAGCCTCGGCCGCTTTCGTTGGCCGCGCCCCGCTCGAAAAGCTTCGACAGGGGCGTCTAAGGCCCTTGCATCCTTACCGCGCGTCCTTACGCGCCAGACGAGCCCAGACATCGGGCGTCTCGAGAGGAGGAGGAGGAGGAGGAGGAGGAGGAGGAAGGAGGAAGGAGGAAGGAGGAAGGAGGAAGGAGGAAGGAGGAAGGAGGAAAGAGGGAAGGAGGAGGAGGAGAGGAGGGCGGAGGAGGAGGAGGAGGAGGAGGAGGAGGAGCGACTGGATGGTGACCGCCGGTGCGCGGCCTCTTCGGGCAGCGATCGGGGCCCGAGCCCGCTGGGCGCTGTCGCGTCGCGCGCGGCCATCGGCAGGCTGGCGCACCGACGGTCACGTTTGCCAGCGGGGGGGGAGCGAGATCCGACGTCGCGAAGCAGCCTCCTCCTCCTCCTCCGCCTCCTCCGCCCCTCCTCCGCCTCCTTCCTCCTCCTCCTCCTCCTCCTCCTCCCGCATCCCTCCTCGTCCTCCTTCCCCTCCCTCCTCTCTCCTCCCTCCTCCCTCCCTCCTTCCTCCTCCCTCCTCCTCTTCCTCCTCCTGCCACATGGCGAAAGATACATGTGGCTTGGCATCGCTCGGACGTGTGCGTTTTCTCTCGGTGGGGACCATGCAGGAGCATCCTGGATCATCGAGCGACAGAACAAAACAGCCACGAGATCGAAAAATTCGCGGGGAGCGGACGTCCGAGCGACCGCAGGGTGAGCGACGAAGGAAAACGGGTCCGTCTTCATCGACACTGGCGCGCACGCTGCCCCCACAAGATCTCACGCTTGGGCGGTCGTCCCCGACGTGGTATGCCGCGCTGGCGGCCCGCGTAAGCCGTGGCGTGATTTCGTTTTAAGTCGGGCATGTCCCTGAATACTCGAACATTGCCCAAACATGGGGACGATGCTTATCCTTTCACTATTAGCTTGGCATCGCTCGGACGTGTGCATTTTTCCTTCGGCGAGGGCCATCGAGGAGCGTCCTTGATCATTTGGCGAAAAAACCACGCACGAAACCGAAAAAAACACAGGGAACGGACGTCCGAGCGATGGCCAGGTAGCCGACACACGAGAGGTCCTGACTTTCTCCAGCACGCGGTCCCCAGAAGTCTCGACGCTGGTTCCCAGGGCCAGTGTTCCTCCCGAGTCCTGTCTGACGGTCGCGGGCTCCGGCAGGGGCTCTCAGAGGCAGAGAACGGGAGCAAGCATCCGCTCTGATTCTCGCAGGACGTGGCAATGTCTGTCGGCGGCGAGCGGGCCCCCAGCGAGAAGTGAGAAGGCCTTCTCGGAAGGCTCGGAGGTCCCCCCCGCCTTCCGAGGGGTGTCCGAAGCCCCCCCCCGAAGGCGCGGGAAGCTTCTTGGAAGGCACCGGGGGCTTCTGAGAAGTCCCGCCGCCTTCCGAGAAGGCCCCCCTCTCCTCGCTTCCCCCTCCTCGCTCGCCGCCGAGCCTGGGCTCGGGGCCGCCCTTGCGTGCAGCCGGGCCTCGCCCTGCGCAACGAGCCCGGCGCCATCTTCCGGCTGCTGTCCTGCTGGGCGTTGCGCGGCGTCGACGTGCTCAAGGTTCAGTATCGTTTAACCCATCCCCATTCCCCATCTCCATCCCCATCTCCATCCCCATCCCCATCCCCATCTCGAGCCCAACCGCCTCACCACCTCAGTTGGGGAGGTGCCCCTCGGAACCCGAAGAGAGCTGCCTGAATCCCCATCAGGGGGGCAAGTCGGCCAGTGGGTCCCAGCCCACGCTGGTGGGGATAGGGATCGGTGAAACGATGCCCAAAGTTGAGTCGGGCGTGTCCCCAGGGCTCGTTTCGATTCCTCCGATTCGATTCGATTCGACTTCGATGGATTCCGATTCCGATTCGATTCGACTTGGGCTTCCGATTTGGATTCCGATTTCTTCTTGGAGGCATACTAGCCTGCCGATTTCCGCCGATTCGACTTTTCCCGATTCGGCTGCCGATTTTTCGCCGATCCGATTCATGTCGATTGCCGATCCGATTTAGCGATTCGATTCTGGGCTCTCCTGTGTCCCTCTACAGGAGGAAGATTTAAGATAGCCAAAAAAAATAACCCGGGGGCGATGTTCGGGCATTTTTTGACCAGTTTTGCATATGTTTTGGGTATGTGTTGATTTCTCGTCGAAAGTCTGCCTGTAGGGGGACAGGCCCGACCTGATCCCGAAGGTGGAGACGCGCCCGCTCGCGGCCGGCAGGCGGGCGCCCGCCGGGCTGCCGCCCGGCATGGCCAGGCTGTGGGACTACCTGTCCTCGGAGCCTCGCGCCACCCCGCCGGCCCCAGGGCTCTGGGGCAGCAGCACCACCATCATCAACATCCTCATCACCAATCAGCAGCATCCTCATTATCATCATCATCATCATCATCATCATCATCATCATCATCATCATCATCATCATCATCATCATCATCATCATCATCAGTATCATCATCATCATCATCATCATCATCATCATCATCATCATCATCATCATCATCATCATCATCATCATCATCATCATGATCACGGACGAACAACGCCAGGATACGGCCGATCATCATCATCATCATCATCATCATCATCATCATCATCATCACCACCATCAGCATCAGCATCAGCATCAGCACCATCATCATCAGCAGCATCAGCATCATCATCATCATCAGTATCAGTATCAGTATCAGCATCATCAGCATCAGCATCAGCATCCTCATCATCATCAGCATCATCAGCATCATCACAGAATCAGCATCATCATCATCATCATCATCATCGTCATCATCATCATCATCATCATCATCATCATCAACATCATCATCATCAGCAGCAGCAGCGTCAGCATCATCAGCATCATCATCGTCAGCATCATCATCATCATCCTCATCATCAGCATCGTCATCATCACCATCGTCAGCATCACCATCAGCATCAGCATCATCAGAATCAGCATAATCATCACCAGCATCGGCATCATCATCAGCATCATCATCAGCATCATCATCAGCAGCAGCAGCATCAGCACCATCAGCATCATCAGCATCATCAGCAGCATTAGCATCAGCATCCTCATCATCAATCATCATGAGCATCAGCATCATCCTCATCATCATCAGCATCATCATCCTCACGATCATCAGCATCATGCATCATCAGCATCATCAGCACCAACGTCATCATCATCATCATCAGCAGCAGCAGCATGATCAGCATCATCACCACCATCAGCATCAGCATCAGCATCAGCATCCTCATCATCATCAGCATCATCAGCATCATCATCAGAATCAGCACCATCATCATCAACATCATCATCATCATCAGCAGCATCAGCATAATCATCATAATCAGCAGCAGCATCATCATCCTCAGCATCATCATCCTCATCATCAGCATCGTCAGCATCACCATCGTCATCATCATCATCATCATCAGCATCATCAGAATCAGCATAATCATCAGCAGCATCAGCACCATCAGTATCATCAGCAGCATCAGCATCAGCATCGTCATCATCAATCATCATGAGCATCAGCATCATCCTCATCATCATCAGCATCATCCTCACGATCATCAGCATCATGCATCATCAGCATCATCAGCATTAACGTCATCATCATCATCATCATCATCATCATCATCAGCAGCAGCATGATCAGCATCCTCATCAGCATCAGCATCAGCATCAGCATCCTCATCATCATCAGCATCATCAGCATCATCATCAGAATCAGCACCATCATCATCAACATCATCATTATCAGCAGCATCAGCATAATCATCATCATCATCATCAGCAGCAGCAGCATCATCGTCAGCATCATCTTCCTCATCATCAGCATCGTCAGCATCACCATCGTCATCATCATCATCATCAGCATCATCAGAATCAGCATAATCATCATCAGCATCAGCATCATCAGCATCATCACCATCAGCATCATCAGCATCATCATCAGCATCATCAGCAGCATCAGCAGCATCATCAGCATCACCATCATCATCAGCATAATCAGCATCGTCAGCATCATCATCATTATTATCATCGTCAGCATCTCATCACCACCATCATCATCATCGTCTGCATCATCATCAGCGTCATTATCATCACCATCACCAACACCACCACCACCACCACCACCACCATCATCATCATCATCATCATCATCATCATCATCATCATCATCATCATCATCATCATCATCATCATCAGGCTCGGGGGCAGCGTTGGGGCTCGCGAGTCGAGGCTCGAGGTGTTCCGTTTTCGGGCGGTTTCGGCGATTCTCGGCGGCTTTTTGGCCTCGGAGCGCGCATTCCAGCGGCTGCGCCTCGCCGAGAGCGTTCCCGGGGTGCCCAGATCGTCCCGAGTGGCCAGGCCGAAGACCACAGGGCAACGTCAGTGGTGGAAAGGTTTAAGGGGGGATGCATCGACCCCCAATCGCGCATTAATCGTCGATTTGGGACCCGATTGCCCCACCTCGCCCCGGACGGTGCGGACTCGCTATCGGCGGCCTATCGCCGATCTATCGGCGACGTACCGCCGATTTCAGCTCGCCATCTCACCCCCTGAGCCAGTCCCGCCCCCTAACGTTGCCGATCAATGGATTGGAGAAGAAATGTAAACGGAGCGCTCAGCAGGCCCATGAGTATTTAATATTGGTGCGCTCGTGGGGCTCAACGGTGGGACTGTGGCTGGCGAGTTGGCGCGAAAAGTTACCCTCGAACGCGCGGTGGAATGGCGTCCCCGAAAATTGGGCGAGACCACCCGGAATGGCGAATGATGCACTCCCAAAATTATGAGCCGGATGAACTCATCAGCTCCAGCCCTAAGTGGATCCTCCCCCAATTCAATCGACCCCTTTGCCAGAGTTCCGAGGCGGGAGAATCGGTGCCCATCAGGGGGAATCGGCGCCCATCGGGAGAGGTCGAGGATTTGAGGTCCTTCGGGCTCTACGGCATCGTCGGTACTCAGCCGTTTCCTCGCCTCGGGGTGTGTTCCAGCCGCTGCGCTCAGCAGAGAGCTTTCTGGGGGTGCCCGGATGGCCCCGAACGGCTGCCGGCGGCCCGAGGTGTGACCCGAGAAGTAGATGAGGGAGGGAGTCGGCTACACGTACCAACGATTTTTCGCGTGATCTTTCGTTGGAGTAACCTTTGGTGTGCGACGTTCAGGGGGCCAGGGGGGGTACGGTAGGTTTGCGTCGTGTCGACCAGCGGCGACCCCAGCGCGGGCGTTCAAGGTTGAACGCCGCCGGCGACCCAGAATCGATCGATGTTGAAGGATCGCACGTCTCGGAAAGGGCCGATCGTTCAAGGTTGAACGATCCCTGCGGTGTCAAAAACCAACGCTGGGGTCGGCACGGCACGAACCTGCCGTATGGGGGGGCTGGGGGGGGAGGGGCAAAAGCCAAGCACGCGAGCTGCTACGGTCGCGTCGCATGCAACAATCGGCAAGCCGTGCACCAAATGTCACGCTTACCCGGGGCCACTTCTTCCAAGAAACACCTTGCTTGCCTCCTGGGTGCCCTAGGTTTCTTGGTAAGCGATGCTTTTGCTGTGGAAGGCGTGACGTTCCCGCACCAAAAGTCAACGGACGTCCTCGGGTCTCAGGGTTGGGGTTCTTGTGGCAGGTTTCTTGTGGTCGAGCCCCTGCTGTACGTAGCCGACTGGGGGCCAAGCCGTGCGCCGGGTGGCCGGCCCGACCCGGCGGCGCGCCGCCCGAGGGGGCGGCGCGAGGGGAGCGGCCTTCCGAGAAGCCTGGACGCGTTACCAGTTTGAAGCATATCCCTATCCCTATGCTTGACGTCACCTCACCTCGATGCCGATCTTAAGGATTCCCTCAGTTTCTGAGGGCCTATCCCTGCGAATGTCCTCGCTTTTTGCTCGCCCATCTTAGGGATAGGGATAGGTTCGAGGCTGGTTAAGAGCCACCCCGTCTTCTCAGAAGCCCCTGGCCCTCTTCGAGGGCCTCCTCTCTCGCGCCGCTCCCCGGGCTCGCGCCCGCCACCCGATGGTGACCCAGACGTGGGGCGAGCCGCGTGCTCTCGATGCGCGTGCACGCCTCGGCAACTGGAGCATGTACCTTGCCAGTGGCGGGCTGTTCTTCAGTCCCAGGAGGACTTTTTGTGGGTCGAGGACGATGTCGGAGTGGTGTGTTGTATCTTTTTTCCCCCGCTTTCCTCGGGGAAAACAGCGAAAATATATACACCTGGATCCCGTATACACCAGGATCCGCTTTCCTATTTGCAATTTTCAGTGCAGGGCTGGAAAAAGCCTCGGTGTATAGAGCCCGGTTCCCCAATTCCCCCCGTCGCTTCGGCGTCTCGGGCGGAATCGTGGTCGGGCCGCGTGGTCAGCAAGAGTGGCGCTCTTGGACGAGGGGCTGCCCCTGAGGGCAGGGTCGGAACTTGTTGCCCGCGGATTGACGAACAAGTCTTCCGAGGGGAAAGGCGGTGCCCGGCCATCTGCTCAGGTTCGTCTTGCAGCCTTCTTGGGCTTCTCCTGGTACGTACCACTTTGGGGCCTCTTGAGGCAACGCAGTCACAGTCGTGATGCTCAGAGTGTCCTGGGACCTCGTCTTACCCTAACGCAGGCCCAGGATGAGGACAAATCGTTCCAGAGCGTTCTAGAATGCTCTCAGAGCGTTCCGGAGTTCTCTGAAACGGCCGCGGCGCCCAGCACATCCTCTATACATCCTGCCAGTTCTCAGATATTCCCGATCTATCATATCTTGATTGATCGTCATCTTTTCTTCGTCTTAAAACTACCCCCACGAAGTGGGGGATCGGCGGATTTTATGTCGATTACGCGGTGTCTCCGGGGATGTCGCAGGAGGCCTCCGACAGGCTCGCGGCGTCGCTGAGCGAGTTCTCCTTGTGGCAGTGCGATTTCGGGGCATACCCCTCGCTCCTGACCCGCGCGGAGAAGCAGGCTCAGTCGTGGGACGAGATGCTGGACCTGATGTCGAAGTAGGTTCAGAGGACGGTGGCCGTTGCCCGATCGAAAAAAAGAGAGAGCAGGGACGGCCAAGATGAGGTGGGCGGGAAGGGGCAGTCACGAGGGAGCGGAGGAGGAAGAGGAGGAGCAGCAGCAGCAGCAGGGTGGAGAAGGGAAGGGAGGAAGAGGAGAGGGGGAGGAGAGGTAGGCGGACGACGACGCTGAGGTCGAGGAGGAGGAGGAGGAGGCGGAGGACGCAGGAGGGGCAATCGGCAGCAGAACAGCAGAGGCAGGGTCGAAGGATCAGGCGGAGACGGCTCGCCCGCGCCTCTGGGGTGAGCAGTGCTCTTGCGATGCGGCTGGGTGGCATGTCAGTATCGTGGAGGCGCTCGAGTGAGCTCATTTAAAGGACCACTCTTGGGCGAATGCTCTACTCGGCGGCGAGCGAGGGGGGTAAGCGAGAAGGAGAAGGCACTCTCGGAGGGCGGCGGGACTTCTCAGAAACCTTCGCGCCTTCTGAGAAGTCTTCTCTGTCTTCGGGGAAGGCGTGGGAAACTTCTCAGAAGGCTTCGGGACTTCTGAGCCTTCTGAGAAGGCCCGCCCCTCCTCGCTTCCCCTCCTCGCTCGCCGCCTATCTACGGTGGGGACGCTCAAGTGAGCCTCCTCTTCCTCCTATTCCTCCTCCTCCTCCTCCTCCTCCTCCTCCTCCTCCTCCTCCTCCTCCTCCTCCTCCTCCTCCTCCTCCTCCTCCTCCCATTCCCCCCTACCCCCTCTGTCCTCCTCCTCCTCCTCCTCCCCCTCCTCGTTCTCCTCCTCCTCCTCCTCCTCCTCCTCCTCCTTCAAGTGAGGACCGCTCCTGGACAGACGCTCCACAGAGGACGACCGCCTGGGTGAGGACGACCGCCCTTGGGGCTCTACAGAGGGTCGGAGGCCTCCGGTCCGCTGCGCATCTGTCTCCAGGTGACGGGGAGCCCCGTGCGCGTGCCGGGAGGCGCGCCGCGGCCAAGAGCAAGGGTCCACGTGCGTGCTTCTTTGCCGCGGCGTGCCGGGAGGCAGCACGATCCCCCCTCCCCTCCCCTCTTTGTTAATTCAAGCTTCGCGCGGCCCGCTTAGCTTGGACCGGAAGAGGTGCGCTCTCGACCCGCGAATCAAAAAGAGAGGCAGCACGGCGGCTGCAGCGCCGCTCGAGGAGCACTTTGCGCCTGGCCGGCGGTGGGTCTCCTGGCTCTCCTCTCACGGATCGGGGCACGGCCGCAGGGGCCGGTGGCGGTCAGCTCTGCCTCGAGCGGAGGAGGACAGGGAGCAGGAGGAGAGAGAGAGCGCAGGAGGAGAGAGATGGAAGGTCCAGGGGCGATAAGCGATCAGGCGGAGGATGCCGCTGCTGCTGCTGCTGCTGCTGCTGCAGATGTTGATGACGATCGTGCTGCTGATGATGATGATGATGATGATGACGATGATGATGATGATGATGACGATGACGATGACGATGATGACGATGACGATGACGATGATGATGAGGATGAGGATGAGGATGAGGATGAGGATGAGGATGAGGATGAGGATGAGGATGAGGATTAGCATGAGGATGAGGATGAGGATGAGGACAATGATGTTGATGCTGATGCTGCCTGCTGATAATGATGATGGTGATGGTGATGGTGGTGGTGCTGGTGACGATGATGATGATGATGCTGACGATGATGATGATGCTGATGATGATGATGGGGATGGGGATGGTGATGGGGATGGGGATGGTGATGGTGACGATGATGATGATGATGATGGTGATGGTGATGGGGATGGGGATGATGATAATGTTGATGATAGTGACGGTGAGATGATGATGATGATGATGATGATGATGGTGGGAGTGATGATGACGATGATTATGACGATGACGATGCCGATGACGATGAGGCTGATGATGATGATGGTGATGCTGATGACGACGATGATGATGACGATGATGATGATTATTGAATCGCTTCGCTCATTCCGCCGGCCCGTGATATGGCATCGCTGGTTTTTGTCTGTGTGTTCGTTGCCCATGTTGCGCTCTTGGGGGCGGGTGTCGTTCGGACGCGTTGCGTGGGGAGTTTTGATGGTGAAGCAGTTCCCTGGGGGTCGTCTCTCGATGGGGCGAAATAGAGTCGTCGTCAAGATGCTTCTTTGGGGGGCCTCTTGGGGTCTGTTGAGAGGCCGTTCGGGGGCGCCTGGGAGACATGTTTGAAGCCTTCTGGGGCTTCTTTTGGGCCTCCTGGGAGTCTCCTGGGGCCTCTTGGCGACATCTTGGGGCCTCTTGGAGGCCTCTTGGGGCCTCTTTGGGACCTCCTGGGCGCCTTCTGGGACGGAGGGCTCCATTTTTGAGTTCTCGGTATCCCTCCTGAGTCCCTCTTGGGCCCGTCTTGGGGCCTCTTGGTCCGTCTTGGGCGGCACTTGGGCCGTCTTGAGGGCTCTCTTGGGTCGTTTCGGCGCCGTCTTGGGAGCTTCGTGGGCCGTCTTGGAGCGGTCTTGGGGGCCTCTTGGGCCGTCTTGGAGCGTCCGGAAGCCGAAAAAGCCAGAACACAAACAACATCGAAAAAACAAATGAAAATCAACGATTTGGGCCTCTTGGGGCTCTCTTCGGAGGCCTCTTGGAAGGCTCTTGGGGCGTCTTGGAGGCCTCTTGGGCTGTCTTGGGGGCCTTTTGGGCCGTCTTGGGGCACTCTGAGCGCGCTCTGGGGAGCCTGAGAGGCCGCACCCAGAAGGAAAACCATCTCTGAGTAGACTTGGTCGGGCGGCGGTCGGGCGGCGGTCGGGCGGCGACCGGGCGTTGGTCGGGGTACTTTTCGCTGGGGGACCCCCAGGGGCCGCCCCGCGCGCGCGAACTAGAAATACTGTTAATACTGTTAACCAGTTACCGGAGATCTTAGCACGCCCTGGCCCGTTGGGCCGGCGAATTATGACGATGATGATGGTGATGGTGGTGGTGATGGTGATGGTGGTGATGATCATGGTGGTGGTGATGCTGACATGATATGATGATGACGACGATGGTGATGATGATGTTGATGATCATGAAACTGATGATGAAGATGATGATGATGATGATGATGATGATGATGATGATGATGATGATGATGATGATGATGATGATGCTGGTGGTGGTGGTGGTGATGATGACGATGATAGCATCGGAGGACTAGAAGCAAGGGGTGGGGGGACAAGGTGGACCACCTGGACTAGGGGGACGAAGGTGACGAGGAGGGCGTTGAGGACGAGGAGAATCAAGTGGATGGAGTGAGGAGGCCCCGGGGGTCCCCCCCCCCCCCCCCAAAAAAAAAAAAAAACGCCCCCACGACCAAAAAAAACCCACCCAGGCGGCCAAAGGGACGCCAGGATGCTAGCCCACGAGGGCCCCAAGAAGACCCCAAGATGGCTCCATGAGAGCCTCTCCGACTGCAGCCGTCTCCGCCTTCGCTCCCTTTTCAGAACCCATTTGGGTCCGATTCGATTTCGAGTTCGCTGGATGCTGACCGATCTTGGCGTTGTGTCAGAGACCAGGGCCCACGCCATCATGGCAGGAACCTGCTGTGACCCGATCCCCCCCTCGCAGTTCTAAACGAAAGGGAGTCACCATTCGCATGCCAATTGAATCGACCATGCGCTACACAACAGGAGTCTTCGACGATGCTGGGCACTGCCTAATGTTCGTCGCTTTTGCACGCGAGGCGCAGGGGCAGCAGCGGCGGCAGGGCAGGGGCAGGAGGAGGAGGAGAAGGAGGACGAGGACGAGGACGAGGAGGAGGAGGAGGAGGAGGAGCAGGGGGAGGAGGAGCAGGGGGAGGCGGAGGGGACGGGGAGCGCGGAGGAGGGGAGGCGGAGGAGGAAGAGGAGGAGGAGGGAGGAGGGGGAGGGAGGGGGAGGGAGGGGAGAGGAGGAGGAGGAGGGGGAGAGAGAGGGGAGGAGAGAGCGGAGGGGGAGGGGGAGGGGGAGGGGGAGGAGGAGGAGCAGGGGCAGCGGCAGGGGCAGAGTGCAGGGCCGAGGACGGGACAGGGCCGCCGCCCGGGCGCCCGCGAGCAGGCGCCCCAGCGCGCTCGTCCTCGGCGGCTGGCAGGGCGGCGCACCGCGCAGGCGGGCGCCGCCGCGGCCGCGGCTGGCGCGCGCGCGCGCGGCCGCGGCAGTGATCCAAGCAGTGGCGAAGCGTCCCGACACAATGTATGCAACTTCGTCCCGACTCGTTTCGAGGGTGATTCGTCTCAGCCGCCATCTGGTTTCTTGCTAGTCTCACTCGGGAGGAAAGGGCGATGACGGTCCTGCGGCAGGGTTGCCTGCCGACTCGCCGGCACGAGCGGGAAAATGATCAGGTGTGTGCGTTGTCTCCCTTGCGCCTCTTCCTCCCTCCTTTCAAAAAAAAAGCAGTGACGAAGCGTCCTGGCTCCGCTTACAGGTCCACCAAAGAATGTTATGAGAGCCTCTTGTCTTTGTGCACGAAGTGTTCTTGGGACTTGTCCGGCGAGGGCTGTCTTGTTTTGACAGATCGGGCTCGTGTTCTAAGAGTTTTGTTGCTGTTCCTAGAACAGTTGTGGGTTCTAAGAACATGTCGTGGTAGGCCTACAGGAATGCCGGGACGGTCGGTTCCTGCTCAAAGTAAGTCGGCGGCGCGCCTTGGGGTCACCGAGCGCGTTCCACTATTCGCTGGGTGCCTACTCGCAAACGTCCGAAAACGCATGTCTGCTTCGGTGTTATTTATCGTAGATCCCCCTTCGGCGGATCCGGGCCATTTGTGAGTAGTTACTTTCTGCGAATAATGGGACGCGCTCGGCTAGGGGGGAAGCAATGCAGTCGGCCCTGCTTTCAAGCAGTGGCGAGGCGTCCTGGCTTGCCTAAGGCCCACCAAATAATATTGTAAGAGCTTCTTGTGGTTTGCACGAACTGTTCTTAGAA